TGAGAGGCAGAGGAAAGCTCCCTTACTCCCCAGTGCTCCTTCTCGCATGAGCCGGAGACTTCTGAGGGCATGCAGCACATTCCAGGGTCCTCAGCTGGATCAGCTGGCCTGAGGCCCATGGGGCTCTGGAGGCTCTGGCCTTGGCTTCTATTTCCTGTCACCACTCCTATGCCCTTGCTCTGCTCATCCTCCCCACCACCCTGGCTCTCCCTTCCCTCTTGCTGGGCCCTGACCCTGCCAGGCCAAGGGTGCCACTTGAGGTCTTCTCAAGGTCTAACGCAGGCTCTGGCATACTTCAGTCCCATCTCAGGACCATAAATCAGGCCTAGTATGGCAGTGGGGGCTGGAGGTGGCAGCTGGGACAGGGAGGGGAGTGCCCGAGGTGGGGGCTGTCCTGGGACATGCTGCGTTAGCAGGGAGCAGTGCCCAGATGTGAGCCAGGCGGGTGAGTGCTGACTGTTGTGCTCTCCTGGCTTGGGAACATCAGAAGGAAAAGGTCCCCACCTAGTGAGCCCAGCCTTGAGGGACCTAAGCAGGAAACTTGGACCTCATCCTAGGGCCCTAGGTAGCTAGGATGCCATGAAGCTAGATATAGAGACGCCCCCTTCCCAATAAGAAACCAGGGATAGAAAAACAGCCCCACCCCCCCAGGTAGATATACAGACTTTCTTACCAGGGGTAGACAAACAGCCCTCCCCTTCTGCAAGCTCCTCAAAGAATGACAGACACACAGATCTTGTAGGAAGGAGAGACAGTCCCCTCATCCTCAAGGGACAGATGTACTGAAATAAAGCCCCATGCCCACCCAAGTAGCCAAACACATACATAGACCTTTCTGGAGAAAAAGACACACGAGCCTTCCCCGTCACGGAAGGATGGATCATCATATTATCAGGAGGACAGACAGCAGACATGCCACCCTTGGCCTGGTCCAGGTCTCAAGGCTGCCTGATGAGGTTGGAAGATTGGGGCTGGGAGGTACCTCTTTCTCACACTCTCCACCCCTCTCTAATCCGCCCAGCCATTTCCTTGGCCACCGCCTTGGAGGGTGGGGGCTGGGAGTGACATCACCAAAAGGGTGGGAGGGGGGAGGAGCCCCTGCCTAGGATCCCAGAGGGCAGATGTCAGACGGTGATGACAGCTGGTCCTTCTTGCCCCCGCAGCCTGGCCTAGGCTGGAGGGTCAGCAGACAGGGTGCTGGCTATCCAGCTAGGCTGGCCACCGTCAGGAGCCCCCAGCCTGACGTCAGTCCCACTCATTGTTGTTGCTGGGGCTTGAGTCACTCCCTGTGACGCCACTGGGGTCAGCTCTGGAGCAGCTGGAGTGGCCTACAGGGTCATTGTTGGGGCTCAGCTCTCCCCTGGCTACATGTAAGGATGAAGTGGGGCCATCTGAGGCCACCCTCATCAGGAATGCCTGCTGCCTCCTCCAAGGTCTTGTGTTGGCCTTCAAGGTCCCTCCACAGGCCTTTGCTGCAGGCATGATGCACAATGCCTCAGCCAGTTGCCTGCCAGCCTGGCAGGCCATGGCTCCGGGCCTTGGCTGAGAAGTCTGATCCCTCTGTCCTTGCCTCTTTAGCCTTAGAACCCTCAGCCCTTGTCAAATCTTCTCCTCTCAGCTTTTTCTTCCCTCCCTTCCAGGAAGCCTTCCCAGGTACTTCCCTGTAGCCAGCTTTTGCCTGGAATCACCTCCCCCTCCCTGCTAGCTCCTCAAGTTGCTGTCCTGACCTCTCCATAGCCGCCCTGGTTTCTTCTGGTGCCCAGTCACTTCCCAGCTTGCTGAAACCAGGGCTTGGGACTCCTCTTCACTCTAAATGTGTCACTTTCTATTCTGGGCCACCAGCATCTCTCCGGAATGACAGCAGCAGCCTCTATCCTGGCCCCTTCTGGCCCCCCCAAACCCTGTTGCCATTTCTTTCAGACCATGTGCTGGGTTTTCTTGCTTGGGTGTATGTCCTGGTGCATCTCTCTGACCTCCCAGAGGGTGATAATTGTGACTTATCACCCTTGGTATTACAAGGTATTACTTGGGCCTAGCATGTTGACAGTTACAAATGCGTGGCATGAATGAATGAACAATTACATCCATCTTGATCATAGGGGAGGGGCACAAGATTGGGAAATTTACTCCACATAGTCCCACTTTATGGCCAAGACGCTTGCCCCCACCATGGGACTACTCAGATGGGGGTAGGACCCAAAGTCTAAGCTGCAATGTGAACTGACCTGTAAGAAATCAGAGAGGTAGGAGGAGGCAGGGATTGGCCAGCACGTTAGATAAGAGAGGAGAGAGGTCTCAGCCTCATCCTCAGGCAGGAAAGACCCCATGGAGAGGGTGAGTTTGGAGTAGGGCCTAGAGCAGGTAAGAGGACTGTGGGAAGAGGAGTTGTGTGGCCTTGGCAAGTGATAGTCAGGGTTCTCCAGAGAACCAGAACAGTACACACAGACACACATGTGGTGAGAGAGAGAAAGTTATTATATGGAATTGACTCACATGATTATGTAGGCTGAGGAGTCCCCAGATCTGAAGTTAGCAAGCCAGAGACCCAGGATAGCTGATGGTGCAGTTTTAGTGTGAATGCTGCCAGCAGGCTTGAGACTCTGGAAAAGCAGATAACTGAAGGCAGTTTGAGTCTGAAGGCAGGAAAAAAGCTGGTGTCTCAGCTCTAAGGCTGTCAGGCAGGATGATTACCAATCTTTTTGTTCTATCAGGCCTTCAACAGATTGGATGAAGCCCGTTCATACTGGGAAGAACAATCTGCTTTACTCAGCCTACTAATTCAAATTTTAATCTCATCAGAAACACTCTCACAGACTGACTGACAATATTTGATCAAATATTTGTACATCCTGTGTCCCAGTTGAGTTGACACAATTGTCATGGCAAGTCACTACATAGCATGAGCCTCAGTTTGTAGTATTTGTAAATAATGTGTGTGTAGGTATCTACCTTGAAAAAGTTGGAAAAGCTGGCATAATAGTGCTTGTGAAGTACTGGCATGGTATCTGGTAAGGCTCAATGACAATAATGATGTTGAAGGTGGACGGGTGGCAGCAGAGGGTCCTGAGATGCAGTGTGTTGGAGGTAGAGAAAGGTCAGTCACTCTCATTCAAGTGCAGGCTCTGGGTGTTGGCTCTGGTTCCTCCCTTATCCCAGGGCTAGTTCCAACCTGCCTGAGCCCCCCCCCCCTTTGACTCCTTACAGACCCTTTCCTCTCAATATTTTCTCCTGAGTACCTCCTTGTTTTGTGCAGGCTCCAGAGGAGGCTGCTGGTCTGTAGGGTAGGAGTTTCCTTTTTCCCCAGGCCCTGTGGATATCTGAAGAGAGGCACCTGCAACTACAACAGAGATAAGGGCTGAATAAGGGCAGAACTATGGGGAAGAAGGAAAGAGTATAACAGATGAAGAGGAAGAAGTCTAGCCAGAGGAGGGGATCATGAGCTGAGTTTGGAAGAATTGGGTGGGAGGGTGGGCCTAAAGTGTGGAGCCAGCTGGTACTGGCACTCAAGAGCCAATTGTATTCCTGATGATCAAGATGTAATCATTCATTCATTCCAGACTCTGCATTCAGTGATATCCTGTAGCTTGAAATCAGCCAAGGTAGAAAATTGGCAAATCAAGGTATTTCTTTCCAGAGAGCAGCAAGTGTAAGAAGACCAGCACTGCACTGGTGGGCGGAGTGTGCTAGAGAGCGGGCGCATGGAAAAGGTGGGCTGAAGAAGTCAGAAAGAGAGCTTCTGTATTTATTGGTCAAGAGCCTTGGATTTGAATCCCAGGCTCTGCTATTTCCTAAGTGCCTTTGGCAAGTTACTTAAACTCTCCTAGTGTCACTTTCTTATCTATCTCATAGGATTGATTGGAATCCAGTTTAATTTTTTACATATATATTGGCACTTAGACTCATGCCCTTTCCTCTCCACTCAATAAATGGTATCTATTATTGTTTTGGAAGATAAAATGTGTGGAGGGAAATGAGCATTTTAACCCTCAAGTAATAACTCAGGAGTGCCTCCTGTTGGAGGTGGGTGCACGTCAGGCTCTGCCCGCATTAGCAGAGCAACTGCCAAACTTCTGTCTAACTTGAGCTTACAATCTACATGGAGAACAAAACGCGACACTGGGAAGTTATACATAACTAAAAATGCACTCATATTCATATTACACTTTGCTGGTGACAACGGTTTTTCCTGTGAGTTATCTCTGGAGGGGTAAAATCAGAAAGGATGAGTGAGTCACATACAGAAACTATGGCAAAATTACAAGTCTTACAAGAACGGTAGTGCTGCTGTATGAAGATATCACTCAGAGATTCTGATTAGGCCCCTTCTTCAGCATCTTTATGTGGGTTGAGGGCCAGAATCTGGTCTATGCACACTGGACAAGCTCACATTTAACCATCCACTCAGCGTCCTGCAGCACACTGGCGTGGGATCATATCCAGGAACTCTCTCCAAATGGCCTGCCTGCCCTTCATCTTCTGGGGATCGGTCCCTTTTCCAAGCCCCTCAGCCCGGGGAGGAGAGCACTTCTGGGTCCCAGGAGTAGGCTCGCCGCGGTGGACTCCTCGGCCTAGGGAGGCGGCGCAGGATCTGTGGGCCCCTCCTTCTCTCCCGACTCTATGGCGGAAGTGCGTCGTCCCAGCCGCAGCACAACAGCGTTCTCGATGGTGGGAGCGAATGGACTCGTCCAAACGAGGGGGATACTTCTCGCCATCAAATCTTAAAATCCGAAAGATAATCAAGAAAAAAGTATCATCCAAATTATATGTCAATATGTGACTGTAATAGTGAGCTCATGTGAGCATTCAGACGATCCATACCGCTGCCTTCGTGTCCGGGGATAGGCCGAGCTGGGCACACCCCCCACAGAAGACGGTGGGAAGCGGGGGCCTGGTCGGCCCGGGGCGGCGGGAGGACTTCCGGTACGGGCGCCGCCTCCTGCCGCGGTGATCCGGCTTCTGTGGTGAGAGCAGTGGCGTGCTGGGAGGGTCTCAGGCAGGGGCTTCTGGTCGGTGGAGCGCTGGTTTAGCCATCCGTCCTCTGCTGTGCAAGTGCGGGCACTCCGGGGGCGCTGGAAGTGAGAGCGCGTCTGGAACTCCCTAGTCCGGCCAGGCTTGGCACGGGGCCCCGCCCCCGAGACCTCCGAGGAGTCAGCTTTTCTGTAGTTTCCGAGACCCTGGAGGTTCACCTGTAGTGGCGGTGGAAGAAAGGGGACTCGGGCGGGAGGGCCTTCCTGCGTCCCAGTCGAGGTTCCTGATGCTTTTGTTTTTGCTTTTAGTTCATCTCTCGCGGCTCAGTGCCCTCGAAGAGGTTGGAGTGTACTTCCAGGGGTCGTATCTCCGGAGGTCGAACCTGCTCGTGGGGAGAAGGAAGGGCATGATCCGGGCCTGAGTAGCCCGTGCTCCAGCATTTGTGCGTAAGGTAGGAATAGGGGTGCCTTAGGTTCCAGCCTGGCTCTGAGAAGGCGTCTGTTAACCTCTGCCACTTGTCGAGGGGACCAGAGGACCGAGACTTTCCAGTCCCTACTCTGGGTAGCTTCCCTGCTCACTGTAGAGTGTGTGTGTGTGTGGGGAGACAACAAGCTTCATCACAGACCAAGTGTGGCTGCTGTGGGAAGGAGAGTGGGGTTGGTCAGGACTGACTTCCGAATGGAGGAGGGATCCTACAATTATAGCACTGAGAATGAGGGAAAAGCCTGGACTTGGGGCGAAAGGGAGGAAATGTGTATGTGGCCTGAAGGAAAGATTGTGGGGAGACACAAGAGGGAGAAGATGGGGAAGAAAAAGCTGGGAGTCTTTAGGAGTTAAAGGAGTTTAACCATAAAGGCAGAAACGAGCAAGAGAGAGCCCTTCTTATCCTTGATCCAAGAGTGTAGGAGGAATAATCCAGCAACCCTTGGAAGGACCTGGAATTCTTTTCAAGGGCTAAGTTGAATTGAGCATTTACTTTGTGCTACGTACTAGGAATTGAGTTTATAGTGGTGAACAGAATTTAGTCCCTTGCCTCGAAGAACTGTCTGCCTGGTCACAGAGACAAGAGTAGAACCTGATAGTACAGGTAGACCTGAGCTGGTTGTCAGGTGAGAGGCAGAGCCAGCCTGATTTCTGAGCCTTCATGGCCTGCTGCCGTATGTCTTGTGCTAAGCAGGAGGGTTCCAGAGGAGCAGAGACTAACTGAAATATACTAAAGGAGGACCTTGAGGAGAACAGATGTAATGTGAAGCAGGCATGGGAACCTTTTACCCTGTGGTAGTGAGGGTGACAGACAAGCTGCCTCTAAAAGCTCTCCTGTGGAAAAGGTGTAAAAATTATTTGTTTTTTGGAGACAAGAGTCTCTGTCACTCTTGGTAGAGTGCTGTGGTGTCATTCTAGCTCACAGCAACTTCAGACTCCTGGGCTCAAGTAATCCTCTTTCCTAGCCTCCCAGGTGGCAAGGACTACAGGTGCCTGCTACCATGCCCAGCTAATTTTCTCTGTTTTAAATAGAGACAATGTCTCTCTTTTGCTCAGGCTGGTCTCTAACTCTTGAGCTCAAGGGATCCTCCTGTCGTGGCCTCCCAGAATGCTAGGATTACAAGCATGAGCCACCGTGCCCTGGTGTGAAACTTAGTCCATAAGGCTTGATCTCAGAACTAAAACTAGGGGTTTGAAGTGCTAAGAGGCTGATCTTCAGTTGAAGGAATAACTGAACAAAACTGTTCCCAGATGAAATGGTCTCCAGTGAGAGGTAGTGAATTCTCTGTTAGGGAAGGTTTGCCAGCTGCACACCCTAATCTAGGAAACTAGGCTGTTCTTTCTCCTTCTGGGCTCCTATTTGGTTACTTACTAAGTTCTGGTTCTCAAGTCTGTTCTCTCTTTTATTCTCCTCTACCACTGTTGTAGTGCAGCCTGGCATCATCTCTTGACAATAATAGTGTAATAATGAATTATAGCAGCTAATGCTGCTAATGAATGTTTACTACTTGCCAGATACTGCTTCAAGTATTTTATAGGTGCTAACTCATTTTTTCCTTGAGACAGTCCTTCCAACATAGCAATCATTATCTTTTCTTATATGTGAGGAAACCAAGGCACCTAGGTGTTAGGCAGCTTGCCCAGGAGCACACAGAGAGCAAGTGGCAGGACTAGGACTCTGATCCAGGCTGTCTGGCTTTCATGTCCTTATTCTTAACCATTATTCTATTGCGTTTTACATGTGTTACCTTAATTAATCCTCACAACCATCTCAATTTACAAATGAGAAAACTGAAGTTCAGAGAGGTTGAGTGATTTGCTTAAGGTCACTTAAGCAAGCTATAGGACAGCTGGAATGTTGAACGTGAAAACTCCCACACTGGACACATCACTCCCCCATACCTGATTATGCTGCTTCTGTAACAGTTACAGAATTTAGAGTAGTGGCCCCTGACTGGTTTCCCTGCCTAGCCTTTCTGCCTTTAATCCACAAGTTTTTACCATGGAGTCTGTGGATGGCCCTGGAAGTATGTGAGAATTGATGTGTATGTGTGTGTGCCAGTTAGGTTTTTTTTTTTTTTTTTTTTGAGACAGAGTCTCAAGCTATCCCCCTGGGTAGAGTGCCATGGCATCACAGCTCACAGCACCCTCCAACTCCTGGGCTCAAGCGAGTCTCCTGCCTCAGCCTCTCAAGTAGCTGGGACTACAGGCACCCACCACAACGCCCGGCCATTTTTCGGTTGCAGCCATCATTGTTGTTTGGTGGGCCCGGGCTGGAGATTCGAACCCGCCACCTTAGGTGTATGTGGCTGGCGCCTTAGCCGCTTGAGCCACAGGCGCCGAGCCGCCAGTTAGGTTTTAAAGCCCAGCCTTCATAGCTACATTGACTTTTCAGAGCACTTTGGGACCCCAAGATAGTTTAGAGCTATTCTTTGCCCTGTACCCAGAGATAGCTTTCTGACATACAGGTTTGATCTTGGCATTGACTCTTTACTGCCCTCAGGTCAGAGTGCAAATCCCTTAACCTGGTCATTTCAGGTCCCAGGAAATCAGATTCCAATTTTTCTTCTTACCCCTACCTCATACTCTTGCCACTGTGGTCATGTTCACTTGTCTGTTTCTCATTTTATCTCATTGTTGTCTCAAGGGCAGGGGCCATCCTTGCTTTTCTTTTATTTATTTATTTATTTATTTAGAGACACAGCCTCAAGCTATCGCCCTAGGTAGAGTGCTGTGGCTTCACAGCTCATAGCAAACTCCAACTCATGGGCTCAAGTGATTCTCTTGCCTCAGCCTCCCAAGTAGCTGGGACTATAGGCGCCCACCACAATGCTCGGCTATTTTTTGGTTGCAGCTGTCGTTGTTTGGCAGGCCCAGGCTGGATTCGAACCTACCTGCTCAGCTGTATGTGGCTGGCGCCTTAGCTGCTTGAGCCACAGGCACCAAGCCTTATTTATTTATTTTTGAGACAGAGTCTCAAGCTGTCATTCTGGGTAGAATGTGGGCATCATCATAGCTCACAACAACCTCCAGCTGTTGGGCTCAAGTGATCCTCTTGACTCAGTTTTTCTATTTTTAGTAGAGACGGGGGTCTCACTCTTGCTGAGGCTGGTCTTTATCTCATGAGCTCCAGCAATCCACCCATCTTGGCCTCCCAGAGTGTTAGGATTACAGATGGGAGCCACTGTGCTTGGCCTGTCCTTGCCTTTGAGTGGCCAGTGCCTGATAGGTGTTGCATAGCAGATGCTGCACTGAATGCCATAAATGAATTCCAGGCGTGTGGCTGGTTGTTTGGATCGGTAACTTTGAAGCTCTTGCCATTTTTGATGTGGAGAGTTTGTGATTCTCTGATGTGTGTGCTGCCAAAATGCAGAGAGGAAGGGCCAGTAGAGGCAGGAGCTGAGCTGCTCCTAGAAGGAAGCTAACAGGTAACTTGCATTTTCAGAAGGTACCAGCATTTTGACCTGGGCTCCTCTTGCAGGGTGGCCCCTGGGTGGGGTGAAGCTCCTCTGTCTCTATTGTTGTTCCCCACCCCAGTGTGGGCTGCTGGCTGCAGGATGAACTGTCGCTCAGAGGTGCTTGAGGTGTCGGTGGAGGGGCGGCAGGTAGAGGAGGCCATGCTGGCCGTGCTGCACACGGTGCTTCTGCACCGGAGCACAGGCAAGTTCCACTACAAGAAGGAGGGCACCTACTCCATTGGCACCGTGGGCACCCAGGATGTGGACTGTGACTTCATCGACTTCACCTACGTGCGTGTCTCTTCTGAGGAACTGGACCGTGCCCTGCGCAAAGTTGTGGGGGAATTCAAGGTAGGGGTGTGGCACAGCAGATGGTGAGTGGGCCTCAGATGCCCCTCCACTCTAGCTCACTCTTCCTGAGAGTGTGGATCAGGTTCTTGGATGCTCCAAGGAGCCCGCGTGTTGAGAGCTTCTCGTGAGGAGGAGGGCTTGTATGTCTGTGGGGGGGCTGCAGGGTCACTTATAAGACTATCTGGGGAAAAAGGAGCGCAGAAAGTCCCCAAGGCAGCATTGGCAGTCAGGTGTCCTTGGGAGGTCACTGCTCCTTGGTCTTGAACACAGCTCTGGCTCCACAGCTCACTCTCTGACACTTTCTCTCTGCCTCTGCTTCCACCCCCCCCCCCACTTGGCCTTTCCTCCATGAAACTCCCTCAGAGGGAGGATTGCTTGGCTCAGGCAGCCCCATCCCAGATGGGATGTCCCTTAAGGCAATGTGGCTTGTGTGTGGGCTTGGAAAAATGTGGCAGGGACAGCTCAGCCTGCTGATGTTGGCCACTTAAGGTGGTGGGAATGGCAGTGTGGTTTAAATATCACCTTCATTTGGAGTCACAGTTTTTTAATGTGTGGGCATTCTTAAACTTTAAAGTAACAAAAGGAGTTTCTTTTTTTAAGGAACCTGCTCAGGTCAGGGCAGGAGGGCTGTCTGACTTTGATCCCACACATGTTTGCAGAGCTCCTATTGTACTGGGTGCCGTGTGCTCATTGTAGGGAGCCCTTGTGTCAGGCAGAGCCCTCTCCTAGGCCACAGCACTCAGAAAGCAACCCTCCACCATTCCTCCAAGTCCATAAGAGGTGTTTCCTAGTCACCCTTCAGGAGCAGTGGCATTCAGCTTAATTTCCTCCAGGTGTCTGTGGGAGGGTGTGGTTAAGAGCGTGAACTCTGGAGCCAGGCTCCACCACCTAGCACATGTGTGACCTTAGATAAGTGACCACTAAATCTGGGCCTCAGTTTCCCTAGATGTAAAATTGATTCCAATTTTACCTTCCTTGTAGGGTGTGTGTACTGCAAGGACTAAATGAGTCACATGTGCCCAGTGTTTGGAACAGAGCCTGGCACACAGTAAGCACTATGAAAGTTTTGGTTATTCGAGGTCATGTGACCTTAGTTTGTCCACAAAGGAGAGACTGTTTCCTGATGGACAGGATTTGAAAGAGCATCCTTGCCTTTAGGTTGGCAGTAACTCAGATGGAGAGGTGTTTCAGGGTCCTAGCTGCCCTGAGGAGTATGGCCCATGGGGTGAGAAGGGCAGAATCACTGGACTAGATGGTCCTATTTGCTTCTTAGAGGAGAAGAGGGAGCAGCAGCCAGGTCTGGTCTGTTCTTGGACCTCCCTGTTCTGTTTGCATTCCCTTTCTGTAAGCAGGGATCACTGGGCTTTATAGTCTCTTCCTCTTGTTCTTTTAAAAGATACTTTGAATTTGCGTTGCCATAAAGTAAATGAAGTAGGAGATGTTGGCAAGGGGCTGATTTTGGAGAACATGTTGAAGGATATGGGGGAGGGCGTGTCATGGAATGAGAAGGCCTTTGGTGTAAAGGTGAAAAGCAAAGACTTTGAAATCAGACAGTCTGGTTTTAAACCCTGGTGCAGCTGGCATGGGCTTTTTGAGAGGGGCCAGTGGGATTGTGTGTAATATTCCTGGCGCAGATTAAGTGCCCACCGGTGAGTAGTTATTCCCATGGTATCAGTTTTTAACAAAGCTGGAGGAGTTGGGCTTAAGGACAGATCTTATTGTTTTGCATGAACTGCTCAATTTCAGGGTGGCTGTGTAACTTCTCACAAGTCCGTTACCCTCTCTTGCTGTCATTGCCTGTCATCCTTAGAAAACTAACAGAGCTGAGCGAGCGTAATTCCCAGGTGTAGGAAGCAGGCCCTCATGAGGCGTGAACTCTTCCGAGGCGTCTGCTCGCTCATCTCTTCCTTGTTCCCCAGGATGCGCTGCGCAATTCCGGTGGCGATGGGCTAGGCCAGATGTCCTTGGAGTTCTACCAGAAGAAGAAGTCTCGCTGGCCCTTTTCAGACGAGTGCATCCCGTGGGAAGTGTGGACGGTGAAGGTGCACGTGGTAGCCCTGGCCACAGAGCAGGAGCGGCAGATCTGCCGGGAGAAGGTGGGTGAGAAACTCTGTGAGAAGATCATCAACATCGTGGAGGTGATGAACCGGCATGAGTACCTGCCCAAGATGCCCACGCAGTCAGAGGTGGACAACGTGTTTGACACAGGCTTGCGGGACGTGCAGCCCTACCTCTACAAGATCTCCTTTCAAATCACTGACGCTCTGGGCACTTCCGTCACCACCACCATGCGCAGGCTCATCAAAGACACTCTTGCTCTCTAGGCCTCGCTGGAACCTGGGAGCTCTTTGATGGCCTCTAGACCTTGACTTCTGGGGATTGTACTGTTAGGCCCTTGGGGCTCTGGAGTTAGTCCTTGGTGAGACTTGGAAGGGAAGGGACAGCCCCTGGGTTCCTTGTTTTGTGGTTGCCAGCCTGGTCATCCCTTTAACCTTTACTGACTGTCATGTCGTGCCTACACTGTCTCTCCACATCCCTACTGGGGTCCCTCTTCCTTTTCCACTGTACAGAAGAGCCACCAGTAGGATGGTGAATAAAGTTGAGAGTATGAGTTTGTGTTGAGCCATCTCTCTTGGCTTGTGTTCTGCCCTGAAGTGTTCACATGTGCTGGCAATCCCCATGAACATACAGGTGTGTGTTGAGGGTATTGTTTGAAGATGAGGGAATGGGTGGATGGGATTTAAGATCAAAGCTGGTAGATTTTGCTCTGTTGGACATACACATAAGCAAGTGTTACCCCCACAGGTATGACCAGGGGCAGTCTGTGAATGAGGGACAGGGAAATTGAGGGCCTGTTGCTTTTGGATGTGACAGACTTATTTCTCTTCCCTTCCTAAGGAAGCTGTGACATCCCTGGCCTTTAGATTATCAGGACGTGCTTCATGATGACACCAAAGAATACCTTCTCTGTCTTCATAGAACATGTTCAGGTTGGCACATGCCCCAGAAAGGTCATCTGATGTGGGATGTCTCTCTGGGGAGAGATTGGCTAGCTCAAGACTGGCATCTGGTGACATCTGGTTGGCCTGGTCTTCACTGGTTGTTGGGACATTGCTTTGGTAACTCATAGTCCTTTTTATACAAGCATACACAAATGTTGGTTGTGTGCTGTGTTTTCAGTCCCCCCCCCCATATTTTATAGTGTTTTGGCTCTATCTGGGGTAGTTTAATGAGACTAAATGGGGTGTGGGGAGGGATGCTAAGGGAGAAATGGGGAGGGTAGGGTCTTGCCCAGGGTCCTAGAGCAGGGTGGGTAGCTAGAATGGCTAGGAAGTGTTTGCATGGTTTTTCCATTCCTAGTCACCCATGACAGGTTTTGTGATGTGTCACTCAATCTCGGGCACATCAGAGAGCTGGAGGACTTGGGGCTGGGTGTTTGTAGATGGGGAAGGCCCATTCTCAGCAGGTCCTTGATAACATGTGGGAGGAGTTTTCTGTTTTCCTCCCAGCTGGCCACTAGCTAATTTCATACCTTCTGAGGGTTTGACTGCTATGGTACAGGTGTTGGTTGGCAGTGACTTGATACTTTTAAAAAGAAGACTCAAGGTTTGCTACAGAATTTGTTTGGCTGCCTGGGCAAAAGGGTCTTGCTTCTATGTCATCTTTTGCAGACTTTATTTTTCTTCAGACTCTGCCCTGCTCTCCTACCCTGGCGTGGCCATAGGACACCCATTTGGCAGCTAGCTGGCCTTGGAGGACAGGACAGCAACACTCCCAGCCCAGTCCCGTTGGCATTGTGATTTCCCTGAGGTGGGATTTACTAAGCGTCAGGATGGGAGCCCTGGTGGCTTAGCTCAAATCTGAGCTCTCTGGCTCATTGCTTATAGCTCAGCAGCTAGGGCGCCAGCCACATACTGGTATGTTTGAATCCAGCTGGGGTCTGCCAAACAACAATGACAACTACAACCAAAAAATAGCTGGGCATTGTGGTGGGCACCTGTAGTCCCAGCTACTTGGGAGGCTGAGGCAAGAGAATCGCTTAAGCCCAAGAGTTTGGGGTTGCTGTAACCTGTGACACCACTGCACTCTACCAAGGGTGACATAGTGAGACTCTGTCTCAAAAAAAAAAAAAAAAAAAAACCGCTCTCCCATAGTTCTGTAAGTAGGACTCTTCCTCAGCCTGTGGGACCTTGGAATCTCCATACCCTGTCCTGTCCTGTCCTTGTTATGGGGTCTGAAGGAGGCACTGGCCTGGTTGTCAAGCCCCAGAAGGCTTCCAAAGGGCCATGGAAGAGGAAGGTTATGAATGGGATCCCTCAGGCTGCCATTTGCTTTTGGTCCCAGCACGATCTAGGCCACCTAGTGGTATAGGACAAAAGCCTAAGAATGAGGGTCACCCTGTTTGTCTTGTCTTCTGCTCAGAGCCAGCACCCAGGATGAGCTCTCACTAGGTGCTACCGCTCAGCCTTATTGGCCAAGTGAGAGGGAGAGTCTTGGAGACACAACCCTTGGGTTTGCCTGACTAAATTCTCATGGGTGGGTTTGTGGGCCGGTTCTGCTGAGAAGGGGCCATAGTCCACCTGGAGGAGCCCTGTCTTCTTGGAAAGGCCTGAGCATTTGCGACGCAAGGGGTGGTAGCCTAGGGCGCCTGGGATCCGCCCCTTGCTTCCCTCCCCACACAACCTCCGCCCGCCTGCCAGCTGGGGCTCCCGCACATCTGGCGGTCCCACACACATCTGGGCAGCCGGCGCTAGAGCATGAACGGCTCTCAGGCGGGCTCCGCGGCTCGGGCCGCCTGGCTTAGCTCCTGCTGCAACCAGTCGGGGGCACCGCCGCAGCCCCCCGAGGGGCTGCGCGCCGTGCAGGCGGTAGTGCTGGGCGTGCTGTCGCTGCTGGTGCTCTGCGGGGTCCTGTTTCTGGGCGGTGGCCTCCTTCTCCGTGCCCAGGGCCTGACAGCGCTGCTGGCCCAGGAGCAGCGCGCGTCCCTGGAGGCTGAGCCCGGCTACGCTAGCGGAGACGACGGCGACGACTCCGACTCCTCCTAGGCGCCGTGCTGCGCTCTGGGGTTGTGGTCTCCAGGCAGCTTCTGGTTCCGCTCATTGTCACCCACAGCGCGCCCACTTAACCCGATGTGGTACGCCCCTCACAGGTGAGAGCTTGGAGTGCAGCCGGAGTGACTGGGGGCGCGTACAGGGTTGGATCGACGGCGCTAACGTCTTTACTGAGGATCTTCTCTGAGCCGAGCTGGGGCAACTGTCTTTGCAGAGCCACCTGTCCAGCGACTCTGGTTCCCACCTCTATAGCCCCACAGAAGTGAGGCTGCAGCTACCCCAGGTGTGCCGGATCAGAGGGAGGAGGCTGCCTCTCGCAGCTTCCCCGTTGTCTTTCCTGCAGGACCTAGCCCCTCCCATCTTACGGGTGCTCCTTATGTCCTTTTCCTAGGAACTGATGGTCACTGTAACTGTGGGAGAGGGATGGCAAATCAAAAGGAGGGAGTCTGCAGGCAGGTGGGAGGGGCACGATGTACTTGGGAGCCCTCAGCCCACACCTGCACTCTGCACCTTGGACGTCTGTCTACTCAGTGGTGTCCCACACCACCCATTCCTCCGGAGGCTGGGGAGACACATGGCCCCAAGTATGCAGATGACCCTAGCCTTTGGCTTCCGCTTCCTCTCTTTCTTGGAGCCTTTTCTCTGGAGTGGGGCTTGAGTAAGAGCCTCACTGTTGCCTTCCTCTTGAGGCAGATTTGGGAGTGTGGTCGCTGTTGAGAGTAAAGACAGGGGTCTGCATGGCCCTGGGGAATGGAAAGGTTTGCCCCTACTTGGGTTGAGGAGACAGATGTGGCTTAGAGCAAGGAGCTGTGTGCGTGGGGAGGGGTGTGGACTGCAAGGTTCCTGACAGCTGGGGCTTCAGGAGCTCGTTGCCCCGGGAGTGGAGCTGAGGATTCACAGCTGTGGGGCGCTGTCTGGGTCTCCTGCCTCTGTCTCTCCAAGGACAGGAACCATCTGGAGGGAAGGGTCTGGGTGGCCCCAAGGACAAGGTAACTCCCGGCCAAGGCCACACATGGGCAGAACCACGGGGCTGGGTTTGGGGAGATGGGGAGAAGTCTCCACTGTTCCTCTGTTCAGCTTCATACCTAGGAGCTCCTGGGGGCTTCTGGGGGTGGGGGGGCTGTTGTTGAGGTTGACTCTGATCACTTTTGACCGTCCCACTCTGGAGCCCAGGGTGTGTACAGGGCACCGGTTTCCTTGTGAGAGGGGGTCGGGCAGGGTGTGTGAGAGGAGGGGCTGGAGAGGGGCAGGGAGAGTGTGGGCAGGGGCCCAGAAGCAGCTGTGAAGCTGACTACGACCTGTGATCCCTGCTGAGCGGTCTGGGATTTGGCGCTAATCCTGGGCGGCTGTGCCACACAGGCCTTGCTGAGCTTTGGACTTCTCACCTCAGGGGCACTGCCCCAACCCCCTTTGGAGAGAGAGCTGTCCAGTGCAGAGAGTGGATATGTGGTTACTGCTCCTGGCCTAGGGCAGTGGGCGGGGACCAGGGTCATTCCCTCCCTTACTTTGCTTGTCCTGGGGGTCACAGGAGACCCCTAGGTTTTCCCAGCCCTCTCTGGATACCTTCTGCAGCTGTGCTCTCTTCTCCTTCCTCAATGGTATAGAGGGTCTCTAGATCACTGTGAATGCCCTCATTTCACAAATGTGGGAGCTCAGAGAACTTTTTAGAAGAGCTCTGAAGCTCAGAGAAAAGTAAGCAATACGCTCAAGTGAGTGGCTGGATGGGCCCTGGGGGCTCCTGATTCCAAGTCTGCTGTGTTGCTCCATCCACCCTCCTTTCCCCTGCTTTCCCATCACTCTTGAGTTGTCGTTGCCAAATATGGCCTCTCTTTGCGCATTTGGCATGCAGTTCACAGTTCAAGGCAGGGGTTTGAACCCCAAGCCTTGTGCCGCTGTTCCCTTCCTGCCCCTATGTCCCCAGCAATCTTCTTGTGCTGGGAATAGTCTTCCTCATGTGGGGCAGTAGTTCTCTGGCCAGCTGGGCTCAGCTTTCCTGGGCTGGCCCTGAGCCGGGAGGGGTGCAGAGGGTCAGCTGGAATAAGCATCTGTGGAAAAAATGCAAGCAGAGCTGAAGGATCAGACACGAAGGGGGGGATGACCTTTGGTTTGGACTTTGAGCTCAAGTTCTAGTGGCGTTAGGGGCGTAGAGTAGTTTGGTGGAGGGAAGGGCTGTGTTCCCAACATCACTGAGTCTGCTCACACCCAGGACAGGGCTGGGGGCAGAGGATAGAGGGATAGGCAAAGTCTTTCTTCATCCAACTTCCTGCCTTTGCTGTCTCTTCAGTGCCTGGAGAGCAGCATGTGGGGTGTTCTGAGGACCTCAGTGTTCCTTGGGGAAGATACTGAGATGTTTGCTTTAGACCCTGGTCAAGGCTGTCAGACTGAGTAGAAAGGAAAGAGTTTGGAAAATTGGGGAGTGGGTGATGCTGTCATTCCATCTCTCAGGCTCCAGCTGGGAGTGAGAGATGGTGGATGGATGTAGGTGTGGGTACCCAGAGAGAAGCCAGGCAGCAGGACTCCCCATGCGCTCTGTCAGCTCACACTGTCTCTGGGGCTGCTGGGGCTGCTGAT